TAAATAAATTGATAATTTAAATAAAATTGAACTTAAATATGGATAAATAAATAAAAATAAAAATTATTTTTTTTAATATTATTATTGGTGACAATTTGATAAGATGACATTTATTTGTTTATTATGTTTTTCTATTATGATGAAATATTTGTTCGTATGATTATTTTCTTGTGTAATGAAAATTCCTTGAAAATTTTCCTTAATTGGTCCGACTGCTCTGCAGTTTTGTAACGAGTTTAGTATCGATTAAAAATTTTATTTTTGTAATTTTTCTTGAACTCAAAATGATAAAAATTATTTTTTTTTCTTATTATTTTGTTTATCGTAAATTAATATCACTGTAATAAACTAAAAAAAAAAAAAGATAAATAAATAAATAAATCTTGTGACATCACATCAGTGAATTAATTGAAAACAATATTTTCTTAAATTGACTTGTAATACAATTGGTCTAAGCTCTTTGGCAGAACGTCGCGAACCAATTCCTATCCATAAATCCCAATAAAAAGAAAAATTTTATTAATTTCGCGAATTAACTAAGAAGTAAATTTAAAAATGAATTCCCCAAATAATATCGGGTCAAATTTATTTGACAATTGGTCAGTTGACCAAATAAAAAATTATTTGGAGTCGTTTAAGGTTAATTCACACGGAACCCCTCAAACGCTGAGAGATCGTGCTTCGCGGTTTTTGCGTTTTTCCTCCGGTGATAGATCGGCGGAGTGGCTTCCTTCAGATGAAATTCAATTTGAATTAAGCCCTGTAAACACTGGTTCTGATTCATCAGAACAAGTACACAAAATAATTAAAAATCCTATTTATGAAGGAAATGCAATAGGTTTTTCAACTACGGTTTTGAGTACCCAGAATTCGCCTTTTCACACAATAACCACGACTAGTTCGATTCATTCTTTTGTAACAGTAGGGTCAACCGTAGCAAATTCGGTTTCTTATTCACGAGTCTCTGAAACTCCAGGCCCATTAGGATTAACCACTCAAGTGGCTCCACCTTTAGAATTTCTTCAATTTTATAAACCGGGAGTAATGACATCGACTATTGAAAAACCAAAATTTGATTTTTCGTTGCCAAAATATTATGAAAAATTGACCGCGAAAATAGATGGCGCTTCTAGCGACGTCTTCGTAACACAATCGGGTTTAGAGTTTTTGACACCTTTACACACTGACGTAATTAAACAACCGATTAACAATTTTTCACATGACAAGTCAGCCTTTCGAACCCCATTGACTACAAATCGATCGGTTGGGACTATTCCTAAAGTCTCGACTGTTAACTGGTCCAATCCTGGCGAAACCTTTTGTCAGTATCCAGCCAGTTCGAAGCCTGGCCCAATAATGGCGCTAGATAGCCCCAGGCAAGGGCCCGGTTTTAGCCAGCTTTTAGAGCGGGCTCAATCTAGTTCAAGTTTAATTGAACTAGAATCGAAATTTCAAAATAAACCAAAGCCCAGCGGTATCTCGTCTACCGTTGATGTTGACTCGCCCGTAAACAATATTGAAATAAATGTAAATGACGAAGATAATTCTAACTTTTTTAGACCAATCAGCAACCAGCGCGCAAATAACGCGACATTGAATTTTAATCATGCGCAGTCAAATGAAAATCCATTACAGAATCACCAGCTAGATTCTTTAGCTTCGAATCTCGCTCGTGAACGTATCGTGGCCCCATCTAGGAAGCCCCTAGATTCTATAGTTCGGAAATGGGGTATAAAATTTTCGGGAGATAGTAAGGTTAGCGTTGAGGAATTTCTTGAGCGTGTCGATGACGTCATGGAAATTTCCTCTGTCACCAGTGAAGAAGTCCTTCGCGCCGCGGTACTTTTGCTTGACGGAATCGCGCTTCAATGGTATAGGCAAAATAAATTGAAGTGGTCCTCTTGGGACCAATTTAAAGCTGCCTGTCGCGCTCGGTTCGGTGACGTGAATTATCAATGGCGACTCGAAGATCAGGTGACAAATAGAATCCAAGGCCCGGGTGAATCCACCGCGAATTATCTCACCTGCATGCAAGGATTGTATTGTAAATTTAACCGTGCCGTTACGAGTTCGGAGATGTTAGATAGAATTTACATGAATATGTTGCCGAAATTGAAACAATGTATTAAACGTCGCGAATTTAATAATTTAGAAGAGTTGTCTCTCATTGCATCTGACGTTGAACGTATGTACAGCTCACTCGCAGTTGAGAGAAAGCCTCAAAAACCGGAAGATTCGTTCTTCCCAGAATTTGCCTTTTCGGGTAATAGTAATGAAAATTCAGTAGCTTCGAATAATACCAAAGACTCAGACTCATCAATCGATAAATTAGTAAACCTGGTCAGCGCGATGACTGAACAAATTAATAAAATCTCGAGGGGAAACATAAATTTCCCTTCTGAGTCTAGTTTTAAGAGGCAAAATAACTCTGGTAAACCGAATCAACCCAATAAAAATTCTAAGCCTAAACAGTCAATGAACAATAAAGATAAAATTAAGCGTACAGAATTTCGGGAAGCGGTTCAACAACCGCCGTGTTTTAATTGTCAAGCTAATGACCATTCGTGGGATAATTGTAAATTAGCTTGGAAAAAATTCTGCCACATTTGCGGTAAACCGGAATTCACCAAATATGACTGTAATTCAGATTACTGTCAGGGAAACTAGTTGAGGAGAGCAGCGCTAGGGTCGATGCTTCTCCTTGTTCGTTACCTAGGACCCTGACTAACAAGAAATCGGACATGAATTTAACTCTTAACGTAGAATCAGCATTTCCATCGCCCCATTCAAGTAAGGTAGTAATTGAAAATAAAATAAATTCTTTAACAAATAAATCTGAAATGAAAATAAATGATGAAAATAGTAATTTTGGTAAGCCTCTGGTTGAGCCACCAGTAAATAAATCTGAATCAAGTTTAACCGATTCAGAAGTAACTTGTAAAATTTCAACTGACACAGTAAGTGTTCAGGAGAAAAATGAAAATAACTTAACTCTAGATTCGGACCCTATATTGGGCCTTGAGTCTTTTATTAACCTTGATAAATTGTGTGGAATCGGATCTCAATCGAGACCATACATTAAATTGTTAATTGGTGGTACTGAAGTACAAGCACTAGTTGACACTGGCTCGACTAGAACTTACTTGAATTCTATTGGTAGATCAATTGTTGAATCTAAAGGTAATAAAATAAATGAACTTGAATCGGGTCACGTAATGTTGGCCAATGGTACGATTGAAACAATCATTGGTGAGGCAACTTTGCCTGTCACTATCGCGGGAGTGACTCGCGATTTAACAATTAAAGTTATTCCAGATTTAACAGATCAATGCGTGTTAGGAATAGATTTCTTAGCAAAGTTTGGGATAGTAATTGACACAAGTGTTCAACAACTTTGGTTAGCGAAAGAACCGATTCTTAGTATCGTGTTTTGTAAACCTAATAAACCAATTAACCTTGAGGAATGTGCAGGCCTCATGACACTCTCTCCTATTGAACAAGTGGAATTAAACTCGATAACTAAACGTTTAGCACGTCCTCTATCAGATAAACTACCAGCCGTTAAGTTGGTTGAACACGTCATTAATACCGAGGATCATTCGTCGATCCGTCAAAATAACCATGGAAATTGGGACTTTTATATAGTCGATCTTCGTTTCGAGTATAACAAGGCGCTTCACAGCACCAATCGAGTCCCTCTACGATCCTTCCGTCGCCTTGTGGAGGGGGAGGTCGAGTTGCCTCCTCCTGATGTCAATGAGTGGTCAACTCGAATGACCGGATTGAATGACCTAAGAGAGAAAATAAATTTGAAACAAGATAAGGCTTTGCTTCACCAAGCCAAATATTATAATCGCCATTATCGGGACCAGCGTTTTGTAATTGAAGATCTGGTCAAGAATTCACTCCATGTTCTCTCCAGTAAACGTGATAAGTGGAAAATTCGAAAAATTAAAAACTTAGAATGTCGTATTAGCTCTTGTAGGGAGGGGAAACACCCCTACTTTAGAATTAAAATGATAAACAATTGATTTAACATGTTCTTATTGTTGTTTTCAAAACCTAAATCCTTCCATAAAAATAATTAACTCCTTTTGATATGAAATCGACAAACTATATTCCATCATTTTGAATGTCACTTTAATTAATAACTTAAAACGTTCTCAATTATTTTTTTTTGGTGAATTGATATTTGGGTTTTAATCGAATTAAATTAAAAATCTAATCACGGAAATGAAAAATATATAATTCTAACATTAAATCTGATGACTATTGTGATCGATCGGTAATCTGACAGAGATAACTCGTTAAAGAGAGCTCATCGGTTCGCCTTCAAGCCCCCCCCCAGGTTCACCCTTGGCAGGAGGGAGTTGTAACGCGGCATTTTATTTGCCGCGTACAAATTAATAATTCTTGTCATTAATTGACTTTTAACCTTTTTCTTATTCACGTCAAATTGAGAATCCACCATTATTTTCTCCTTCCGAGAAATATTCTCTTATTAATCCACTTTGTTAAATTATTGTATCAAACCTGTAAAATAGCGAACAGTCAGATCACTGGTCAACACAATGATATTTAAACAATAGAAGTTGATACTCGATTTATCATTTCATGTCATTGCGAGTTTCGGAATTACCAAACATCTGGATTACTGCCGAGAGATTACTTCGTATTTATTACTGGAAATAAATACCGGTCATACGAAGTGACAGAAAGAGGAAGTCCATCGGCGAGGACATCAGCTGTCATAACACTGGCTGCAGCCATCTTGCTAACCGGACGTCGTCGCGCAGTGCCCCTCGCGGAGACTAAACGAACTTTTATGAACTCTTCTCGACAGTCGGTAATTTACCTAATTACTGACTGGCGCGCATCGATTACCATCGGAAAATCTATGTAACAAGTGCGCGTGGGACTCACCACGAAGTGGAGATGCGCGTCGACTTCGGCGTCCCCGTCGGCCATTTAATTGATTCTCGTTTTTGTCGTTGTATTGACAGGTCGCAGTAGACCACGTTCTTATAATGATTAAAATTTTATCTAATTGTGCACTCTTTCCTGGTGATAATGAGCCGTGGGACAATGAGGGGACGTCGGCGTATCTCCGGTGAGTCTCGAAAGTGTTGATGTGTTGTCTCCTGACGATTAATCGCTCAGAATTAATTTGTATCAATTTCCTTTGTTTCACGACATGTCATTTTTGTAACTTTTGAACAGGTCCCGTCTGGACCTGTAATTTCTTGTGATTAAATCAAAAACTAAAACAAACTAACTGGTGATTTCTCTTACCCCGCGCTCTCCTTGAAAAGATTGAGCTAGCGTAAAATTAAATAAATTTTAGGTTTGAATATTTTTCCATAAAATATCTCTGGCGTTCGGGCATTAATTCAAACAACAAAGTAACGTGTGTTTTATTTAATTAGTTGATCCTGAAGTAAACAAAAATAAATTATTGAAATAAAATAACCTCATTTAAAGTAATAAAATTCATAGTAATTTCTCAAATAATTATAAAAATAGTAAGACACCCGTTATACTATATACACACCATTGGGGGCCATGGACAGGCAAAAATTGAGCTTTCATCACAGATAAAGAAGCTTTTGCTGCGCGAGAACCACCATTGCGATAATTCCCAACGATAAAATTCCCAATATTAATTTCCTCCGAGCAGCTATCGTGGAATTCATTCCACTTTTCCCAGAGAATGGAAGAAAAGCAGAGAAAGAATCCTCGAAGCCAATTTTCTTCCATTTTCCCAATCTCATGTTCTTTCATTTTTCTTCTTCTTCTTTTTAGGCTGCAAAAATTTTAGCTGACTCAACCGAAACTAAGGATTGTTCACAGAATATAATATCGATATTCATGCTTCTTTCTTGGAAGATTTACAAAATTTAATTTGCACATTTGCCAGAAAATCGAGAATAAATGAAAACTATAGAGATCCATTAAACTTGAATTTTTATTTTTTTTATCCCATTTAATTTTAATACTGTAGATAAAAAAAATTTAAATACAGTAATGAAATTTAAATATCAATGGAATATCAATTTTAATATCAATTTTAATATCGAAATGGTAGTAATAATTATAAACAGTTAAAAGTTTTATATAACAGTTTCATTAAGCTAGAAAATGGAAGATTATGTTCTCTCTTGAAAAGAATAAATCTCTACAAAAAAAATGTATATATATATATATATATATATATATACAATATGAATATTTTACGTTTTTTGTTGAATGTAAAGGGATATTTTGCAATCTATAACTGTTTTACGAATTTAAAAGGGCTCTTAAAAATTATATCCTCTTCTAAAAAGGGAATGCGTGTAGATTTAAATGCAGGTAAAAAGAGAAATCAATATCAAGAGTGGAAACATTTTACAACTGAAAGCCAGTGAATTTAAAATTGATTTTAGATTAACAACGAATGGTATTCGAATTTATTTAAAAAAATATGCTTTTATGTTATACTATATCTTTGTGTGCGTGTGTGTGTGAAATAAAATAACATCATTTAAATATGTAAAATATTTGAAATTTAAAAAATTTATATTAAATCCAATATTTCAAAAAAAATTTAATAATTCGCTTCCTTTGATACATTATTTTTATTGAATTTATTTTTTTAACTGCATATTTTTTTACTGACTCCTATACTTTTTAGTTTTTATACTTTAATACTTTTACTTTTTTTACTTTTACGACTTACAGGATCGATTTCTTCATCTTTTATAATAATTAAAACTTGTTAAAATAATTATTTTATATTATAAGAATATTGTTACTGTAGCTTTTTCGAAAATATTTTTATCATTTCGATTCAATTATTCATTTATAGAATTTTTAATTAAAATTCTTTCTAACAATTATTTTTTAATAATTTCTGACAAAGATCTTTGAGAATTTTTAAATTAATTTGTTTACAATTCAATTTTACGTGAAATTTCAATTATTCGGAAATTCTTCAATTAAATATACAGTAGAAAATAAAAACTTCAAATAATTAAAAAAAAAAATTTAATTAAACTTTTGGAAAAAAATCAATTTTACAGAATTGTTTATTAAAAGTATCTTGACAAATTTTAATAAAATTTTCAAAAATGATTTCTTTTTTCGTCAAATTTGATTAAAATTGTATTACAAATAATTGAATTTCTCCAAAGAATTTAATAAGAGTTTTTGTAAATAATTAAATTCCTGTGAAATTTGTATTATTTTATGAACATAATTAAATGTTTGCGTAGAATTTTATTAAAATTTTGTTTAAATAATTAAATTCTTTTGGGAAATTTTATTTAAGTAGTAGTTATATTAAAAATCATTAAATTGAGAAAAGTTTTTGAAAATAATTAAAATTTTGACAAGAATTTTATTTAAATTTTTGAAAATAATTTAATTTCGAAGAAAAATCTTATTATTTATAAAGATAATTGAAGTTTTGTCGAGAATTTTTGTAAATTTTTGAATATAATTGAATTTCTGAGAAGAATTATATTACTTTTGAAAATAATTGAATTCTTGAGACGAATTTTATTAAAATTCCTTTTTAAATAATTGAATTGTTTTGTAAAATTTTATTAAAGTAGTAAATATATTAAAAATCATTGAATTAAAGAAAGTTTTTGAAAATAATTAAAATTTTGACAAGAATTTTATTTAAATTTTTTAAAATAATTGAATTTTGGAGACAAATTTTATTATATTTATATAAAGATAATTAGAATCAGAAGTCTACGTTCTTTAAGATTTCTAAAGAAATACATTTAAAATTGAAATTTTCCAAAATTCCAAATTAAAACCTTTTGAAGTTCATCTACTTATGAAAATTGTAAACGCAACTCTTTTAAAATTAAATTAATTTTGAAATATTTAAGTAATTTCTATCTAAATTCCCTAACTTTTTTAAGTTTTTTCAAGGTTTATAAAAATTCCCTGACATTTCTAGCTTTTTTAGGTTTCGTGGCAATCCTGAATTTTATTATTTTATTATTATTAAAAATGTTTATTATAATTATTAAATACTAAGTCACTTATTGTTTTACATGGTGTCTGATTAAACCTTGACTACTCCACTGAAATGTTTGCCTTAACTTTTCATGGAACTGCATGGAACTAATTTCACTCTAAAAATAAAATGGATAAAAATTTCCACTTTACAGTGTGTGAATGTGAAGAAAAGAATTATTATTTTTCGTTTTTACCTTGTTCTCTTAATCGTGAGATTGATCAGAAAATGTGCGATAGGGAGAAAAAGAAAGGAGATCGATTGAAAACAAACTGAATGAAAAATGAGATACGGTTATACTTGTGAAAGGAAACGATGACTGCCAGCTGACTCAATGTAATTTTTCATACGATTGGTCAGAGCACTCGGAATACTCGTGCGACTACTTCAAGGATAAAATGAATGGCATTCTGTTATGGAGATCTGCAAAATCCAATGGCAATTCCATTTCTGACAGTTACCTTTCATTCCTCGACTGTGAAAATTGCCAGAGATGATCCGGAAACTAAAATGCCGAAGTCTTCAAGTTACCGTGGCGAATGGTCAATGACATTCTTGACATCTTGGGCATTTTACTCAATGTCTCCTGCTACTACTACATCCACTCTACAAATCGTCTTCAAATCCAGTGAATATGTTTCCATTTCAAATCCTAACTTATTTTTTTCTCTGGAATATATAAATATAAAAAAAACTATCTTAATCTTAGAATCTGGAATATATTTTCAACTTTGATAATTTGTAATTATTAAGGAATAATTTCTGATAAAGTATAAAAGGAAATATTTAAATAAAGTCCACTTGGCTTTCGAGTCATAACACTTGTTACTTAGGAATTTATTCATGTACGTTGCTGCATGTACTCATAATGAAAATCCTAGCTATGGAAACGTATTTCAATTATAATCTATTTCCAGATTATGACAGCTTTAGGTATTACATTGCATACATTCCAGTAAAGTTAGAACAAGTAAAAGTAAAGCGTACCTTTTATAAAGTACAAATTAAATCAATTATCCTTTGAAATTCTCTACTGTAACTGTTCTACTTTTTTTTCGGTAACCTTATTTTCCGTTGAGTAATTAAATTCACTGACAATTTACATTAAGAGTTAAAACCTAGAGTTAAAACTTTTTTTATTTTCCTATTAGAAAAAAGCTTGTTTCTTTTTTATTTTTCAATAGGAAAAAAAAAATGGATAAAAATACTTTTCAACTAGCAATTCGAATTTTTATGAGATAGTATGCTTTGAAATGGCTGGTGTGTGAATTAACATAAAAATTAATGCTATTCGTCTGACTTAAATGGTTTCGAGAAACTGGTGCTTTAGGCCGAATTTAATTACAATTGTACGGCACTGTGAAATCGACTGGTAAGTTTTAGTGCTGACCATTAGGAATCCTACACTATGGTACTGTAAACCCTCTGAACATCTCGTATCATCATGCACGTTCGAGCAATCGTCAAGGCGGTACTGAATCCGCTAAATTCCTTTTCCTGCAAACGAGTTCCGCCTCCTTCTATTTTCCGTTTGGAAAGATAAAAGATTAAAGAACAAGTGAAAGCATTATCGGATAGAAAAAATAGAACACGAAAGGGATTCTTTTTAACAGGTGATTTTCTTTTTCACAATTATTTCAAATGCTGCACACTATTAACCAAATACAATTCTATCCTTATTGTTTTTACCTACTATTCATACTGAAAGATTTAGGAATATTTTTGGTTACATTCTAGACAACCTTTTCCCTGACTGTTGTAACATAATCCAAAACACAACATTTTTTACACTACAAAAAAAACAACTTTGTAGCAGTGACTGTACATACTGTTCCTGGTTGCAATTTTTGATTCTCAATTCTCAAGTTTATTAGCAACATCAAAAACGATGCAAGGTTTACCGCAGGTACTGTCAATATCCACAAAAGCAGTTATTTAGTTCCACTCGCATACTTGTATACATAACTTACTAGACGAAGGACGAAGCATTTACGAACAACGAACGCATGTGTAAACACCAAGGTCCATTACGGTCACGCAACAATATTCAAATACCTTCTATCTACTAACCCTATTCCAATCTCTGCACCGAAAAG